TAAAAGGCCTCTTTAGTAGCTGTGCTCAGTGAGTGATTTGTGGTCAGGTTTCTCATAATTTAATGAATTAATTTAGCGCACATTGCCTCTTTGCATCTGTGGGGCCTGCATGGAAATCTGGTGTTGTGGCCTAGTTGTAACTATTTTCAAATTGTTTTACAACAGACTTATGCCAAATTAGCACCGATACATTTAATAAGCTAAAGCCTTCAGCATTGTTGCTTGTTAGCTAAAGGCACACAACAAACATCTGCATTGCACTTAGACTGTATGGAAATGTTATGGATAGTGGTGATATAGTTTGTTTATTTAAAGGAGTGTTTATTTTGATGGGACTAAAACATTGTCCTCTGTTCAGAAAACATTCAGTATGCTTCAAACTCTTGTTGTATTTTCTGTGGCTTTATCACTGTAGTTATATTCATAGCAAATCCTTTTAAGAAATGAGAATATTACGTATGCACTTCTCTAGAGCATCATGCTTACGCTGTAAAGGGGTTTATAAGTTTGCCTAGAGTTATTTCCAGAGACAAATAAACAGTTAACTAGTTCCTCTGTCCAAAATGGGCCTCTACTTAAATTAGCAGTCTCTAAGTGTGGACCTCTAGTTTGTTACAGAAGTGCAGACAGTTTGAAATGGAATCTTTAAACAGAACTATTGAATCGCTAAATAATTCCATTTGCATTTCAGTTGCTAAATAATGTCATTGGTCAGACTTGTTCATATTAGGTCATGGAGTGACTATTTTTAATAGTATGTGATCTTCTGAATTGCAAATATTTTGTGGTGAATTTCTGCAGAATTGTAGGGTTTCCTTTCAAGTTTCTTCAAAAATGTAATGCTTTGGAAGAAAAATGCAGAAATACTTACTGAACATTTTGCATTTACATTGAAATCTAATAATATAATTGCTAGCTGTCCTGGACCTTTGTGAAAATGATATGGTTTTGAGATGGTAGCAGCCAGCAAAGCTTGGAATAAATGCGCGTAATCCATTAATGGAATAAACCATGTGACTAATATTTCAATTCTATTTGCATTCCTTAAGAAAAGTTTGGGGTTTTTTCTTTGCTTGAAGAACCTACCTTTTTACATAGATGCGATGCTCTCTGCAAGATAGAAATTGCCCAGTCGCAGCATCTGAGCTTGTACTGTCTCTGTGTTCCTTTTGCTCCTCAATTTTTGCCCTTTTTTTTTGTGCCAGAGCCAGCTCCCACTCTAAATGTGGAGCTGCTGTTGTAGAAACGGTACCTTTTACCTTCGGCGAGCCAGGTAACCCATCTGCAGAGCCTGGAATGGCAGCGCTGCTGTGTGGGTGAGGTGGCAGGATCTCTGAAACATCTCGCAGCTCTTCCCAGGTACTGAATGTGACCTCTCGGAGGCGTTTCTCGCATCTGCTGGCCTGGAGCCTTGGATACTTTATCTCAATCTTTCCCGATAAAGATGGCAGATGTATAGGCCAGTCTCCTGTATTTAAAAAAAAAAAAAAATAAAAATGTTTTTAGTAGATTAGCTATTCTTTAGGAATTGATACTGAACAAGGTTGTTTCTGCCATGTTTAGCTGTGCGTTTCCCTTCTCTGCTTATAAGTGATAGCCTTCCCCGCTGCCTGATACAAAGCATGGTATCTGATTGGCAGTTTTATAACTTAGTTATTGTAGTCTCCGCTTATTTCCACTGACAGATCTTGATCTGATTTATCACTCTTGGTGCTGCGGCGCATTGTATAACAGAGCACGTTCGGCTGAACAATTTCTATCGATTTGTAGGACTTCCCTAACGGAATTGCCGGTTTGATCAGAGAAATACTTGTTTTCGTGACATCAGCTCCTTGCCATCCATGCCATGTTTTAGTTTGTGCCTCGGCTGCTAGCTACAGCCTCTCAAGGGAGCCAGTACCACCCGTGCCTGGATACATGAGGCAGAGATGTGAAAGGGAGAGACGGGGGTAACCAGTCTTCCATTAAATATTTGCTCTTAATGTTCGAGCTGATCCTGCCTATTGTCCTTGGTATCTAATGGTATTCAAACAGCGGCATCAGTGGAATAAAGGGAAAATGTTTCATTTCGTACCTACTACGTTGTAAAGCGTAAAGAATTACATGCTGAAGAAGCTAAAGAATAAAATCCAGTGAGTAATGCATGCTTTTTCTGTAGATTTTGTGTGTCACTATTGTGATTGCTGTTATGAATTGAGGCTGTTGATGCAGTATGTGTGTACGTGTGGTGCAGTAGATAATAGAA